ACAATATTGATGCTTATTATAAAGTTCTGGCTTCTGCAACCAATATGTATGAGCTGAGGTGTGTGTATTTATTTATTTGTGTTATGGTGGCACCCAAAGGCCCCAGAAAGAATAGATTCCCATTGTGTCAAGTACTGTACATACAATTAAGTGTTGGCTTCTTTCTCTGTGGGATAATGTGCATCCTTGTCTTTGCAGTGATCATCAGAATCGTTTGAACCAAAATGAAGCCTTGTTTATTAGATTGGGAATTTGAAAGAGTCTCTCTCTCTCTCTCTCTGTAAAAATGATCTATTTAAGCTGCTTACAAAGTGCCAATAACTGTAGGCACAGGATAATTTAGCATTTATATATCCCTTGACGTGGTCAAAATATGTCACAAACATTTAATATTAATATTCACCCCATCCAATAAGGTAGGTAATGTATGTATAATTATCCCTATTTTACCAATGGAGAAACTGAGGTGTGGACTTGCTAAAGTGACTTGCTAAAGGCCACACACCAAGTCAGTGGCAGAGCCTGGATTAGAACTCAAGACTTCCTCATTTGTGCTCATTAATTCAGATGGCCTGAGGGGGAGGGGGAGAGATCATGGGAGGATATAGAATTTTAGAAGAGGCTTCAGTGGGAACGGGAAGATATCTTAGTGGAGGTGTGTAGTCCCATTAAAGTGGAGAACTGTCTTGTAAGAGGGATGGGCTGAGTGTGAAGGGAGTACACTGGGAGTTGAAGCATAATGGTAGAAAATCTGGAGTTGGAAATCAAAAGAATTGCTAGTGCAAATGCTGAGCCTGCAGAGTGAAAGTAGCAGATCCTGATGTTGAAAATAACCTTTTGTGTGTCCTTTTAAATGTGTTTTATTTTAGTAATTCTATTACATCTAAATTATAAATGTGCAAATGCATTATTAACAACTAGGATGAGTACTTAGTTGCTCCACCTTGGTGAAATTTGCTACTTCACACAAGCTTGGAAAGCTTCTTTGATGTGTACATCAAGGGATCAGTAAAAATCTTACTATTAAGTAGGAACTACATTGGTTTTTTTCCTCCTTCAGGAATTTTATTTATTATTACTTGTGTATGTAAGCGGGGGAATGGTCCCGCTATTGTGGGGAACTTTCCTGGCTTATACACTGCCCCGGTGAAGTGGGCTAGCGAAAGGATCTGAGTCCTCGCTTCCACTCCCTTAACCTGGAGGCCTGCCTGACCTCCAGGCTCCCCTTCCACTTTCCTGTGTGGCAGAGTCCTCGTAACCCCCACAGGGCTGGGCCCAGGATTCCTGGGGGACTCGACCCCCAACCTTGTCGTGGTCACTTAGGGCAGGGGCTTGGGTGTCCCCATTCCAGGGTACTCTCTCTGCACTGGATGCTTTCCTGACCCACTGATCATTACATACAGTTCAAAGCAAATACAATTTATTAAACAGCAATCAATTTTAAAAAATAAGGAAAAAACGGGAAAGGTTAAAGGAAAACTTGTCACCCCACTCTGTGGCACGGGGACATCACAACCAGCGTCTCTGGAATGTAAGGGAAGTTCCATCTGTTCCTCACAAGTCCCAGGTTTTCTTCTCAGGCCCTGGCTGTGCTGCAGGGATGCCGTGGGTTGGACACTTGCTCTGGCGATGGCCACATGCTCTCAGGCTTTAGGTGGCAGGGCCCTTCTTCCCAGTGTCGCCCCCACCCTGTTGGGGTTACAATCCCCCTCCAAGTCTGGCCTGCAAGGCCTCTTGGAGGGGGGCGTCTCCCTGAGCTGGGCCACTGCCCAGGGTCCCCCTCGCTCTCCCCAGCTGCTCACTGCACCCGGCTCCAGACTGCTCCAGCCCCAGCTCCACTCTGCCTCAGCTACGCTGCTACTGAAGCTCTTCCTCCAGCTCCCTGGGTTGCTTCTCTGGTGCCGTCTGGATCTGGTTGTTACAGCTCTGCTCCCATGACAGGTCTGCTCTGTAGGCTGCTTCTGTGACTCTGCTCCCAGCACTGACCTGCTTCCTGGGCTGCTTTTCTGGCCCCAGTGTCTGGCACAGCTCTGCCCCTGCTCTCTCCTTAGCTCGGCCCCACTCTCTGTTCCAGGCAATTCCTGCTCACACGGAGGACGGGACCCCCCTGGCCTCCTGACTCCCTGATTAGCCTGCTCGCCCCGTCGATCAGGCTGACCTGGAGCATTGGCCTCAATGTTACTGGGGACTGTCAGTCTCAGGGTCCTGATTTCCCATCGACCCTTCCACTTTCTTTTGGTACTGGGAGCTAGCCAACCAAAACACCCCCACCGAGTTTTAATAAGGGGACAACAGTCCCCTTTCATGTATAACTCTAGGTTCATAATTTTTTACATTCCTATTTTTTTGTATTTAAACCTATGAGAGAAATAAACTGAAGTTAGCGTCAAAAGTTAATATGCTTGATGCATTTTCAACTGTGTAATTACTTGATTATAACATTAATTTTTATTTTTTAAAGTGATAAGAACATAAGAACATCCATACTGGGTCAGACCAATGGTCCATCTAGCTCAGTATCCGGTTTTCTGACAGCAGCCATTGCCAGATGCTTTAGAGGGAATGAGCAGAATAGGGCAACTTATCAAGTGATCCATCCCCTCTCATTCAGTCTGAGCTTCTGGCAGTTAGAAGCTTAGGGACATGCAGAGCATGGGGTTGTGTCCCTGACCATCTTGGCTAATAGCTCTTGATGGAACTGTCCTGCATGAACTTCTCATTCTTTTTTTAACCCAGTTATAATTTTGGCCTTTACAACATACGCTGGCAACAAGTTTCTTCAGTTGACTGTGTGCTGTGTGAAGTACTTCCTTATGTTTGTTTTAAATCTGCTGCCTGTTAATCGAATTGAGGGACCCTGGTTCTTGTGTTATGGGAAGAGGTAAATAACACCTCTTTGAGAGAGATGTCCCTGGGGGTGCTCCACTTCAGGTCAAGGTGCGTCCCAGAACCTTCGATCAGAGATTTCTACAGCAGTACCCCTATGGGCCGTGCACACGCAGTGCCTGCCTCATGAGCTGTCAGTGTTTGAAGAGCGCATGCACGGCCCAGGCTCCTCGGTTCCTTCTCTACCATCTTTGGCTAGAGACGGAGTTCAGCAGTCCTTTCAGATTTAGTCATAGTTAGTTTCGTTTCTCAATATAATTTAGACAGTTTAGGTTTTAGAGTTACTATTTAAGAAAAATAGTTTCATTATTAGAGTTATTTAAAAACCAACCAACCAACCAAACCTCCTCGGCTACGGACATGCCCGGCTCCCCAGGTTTCAAGAGATGTGCCTCCTGCACAGATGCCATCCCCATCTCGGATGGTCATTCACAGTGTGTATGCGGGTTGGGGGAGTCTCATGTACCCCAAAAATGCATCCACTGTAACCAGCTCAAAGCATGGACCCGCAAGGACGGGGAGCTCAGACTGAAACTGCTCCTATTAGAAAACTCCCTCAGACCCTGGCCAGCAAAGCTCTTTAAAACCCTCAAGGGAGAAGGACAAAACAAAAAATGGCCAGCTTCCTCCCCCCTCAGCGGCTGCTTCTCAACAAAAAAGTCTCAGATGGCTTCCACCTCACCAGTGCCCGCGGCTCAGCACTTTTGACTCTGCCGGTACCTCAGGCACCAACCGTGAGTGGGCTGCTCAGCTACCTGGTGCCGAGGCTCAGGGCTTTCAGCTGCCCGCCTCCTACAGCTCTCCCTTGGCCACCTTTGACAGCACAGTGCCGAGAGCTGTTATGGTGCCACCGTTTGATCTTGTGGTGCCGCTTTCTCACCCGCCGCAGCCGACGCTCCCAGCCCCGAGCCGCCTAATGTCGCCTGCCTGCCAGACAGTGCCCACCTCTGGGGCACCTACTCCTTCAGCACAATATGCACCCCCAGGGCAACCTTCGGTGCAGACACGTATGCCGCCTCAGCAGATGCCTCCACAGACTCTGCCTGCACCAACTGCAGCGGCACCAGCTCCATTTCAGTCACCCTTCACTCCTCTCCTGCCTTATCATTCGGCACCTGGAGTCACTGCACCACCTCAGTTTTTACATCCAGGGGACTTAAGAGTGTCCCATGCCCCTGAATCTCCGCTACTCGGCACCGAGACCGTCAGCACCCTATCTACAGTACTCCCCTACCGCTTCAAGCCTCTCAAGTGGCGAGGAGGATGGTGAACGTTTTCCTCACAATGTTCCTCCCACATTTCATTATCTGCAAGTGGGAGATGAACTAAAGCACGATCCTCCTATCCTAGTGGCTACCCACACTGGTATGGTAACTGCTGGATGGGACCACCTATGCCCTTTCGTGGGCAATGGCCATACCGGGGTCCATGGAACTACACCACGACACAGTCGGGTGTTCACTGTGCTGCCCATAGGAAAGATGTTAGATCCTCCCCGAAGCTTTCTTAGCTGATAAGCAGATAAGACCTGAAGTAGCTGCTCCGCCTTCACAGGACATCGCTCCCCACACCTCTCCTATGGCGATACCACTACAGGAGGCCATGGTGTCCCCACCACCTTCCACTACTGATGATCTTTTACTCATTTTCAGGACTTATTTAAAAGAGTAGCCGATGAGCTCAAGATTACCTTGGAGGAGGTACCAGGAACCCACCATGAGCTTACCAACCCATTACAAGCTACCACCTCATCCAAAATAGCCCTACTAATTAATGGGGCCTTCATGGAACCCGCTAAAATTGTCTGGCAGACCCCGGCCACAATAACCCCCACTAGCAAGAGACTGGACCGCAAATATTTTGTCCTGTTGAACGGTTCCGAGTTTCTGTTTACACACCCATCACCCAATTCACTAGTGGTTGAGGGGGCCAATCAGAAAAATAAGCACCAGTACTTCCAATTTACCCCATCTGACAAGGATAACAAGACTCTGGACTCCTTTGGGCGCAAAGTGTATTCATCTTCCGAATTGCAATATCGAGTAGCTAATTACATGGCACTCTTAGCAAAATATGACCACAAAAATTATGCTGAAGTAATGCAATTTATTGACGATGTGTCAGAAGACAAACAACAACAATTCAAAGCAGTGGTGTCTGAGGGCCAATTGATCTCCCGCACAGCTCTTCAGGCTGCCCTCAATGCTGTTGATGCAGCCACCAGATCCACAGCCGTGGCCATCATCATGCGGCATGCCTGATGGTTTGCTTCTTCCTCCTTTCCCAAGAAGATACAGAGCACTGTCAAAGATGTCCCCATCGAAGGGGACAAGTTCTTCACCTCTATGACCAATGAGGCCCTCCATTCCATGAAGGACTCACTTGCCACACTCAGATCTTTAGGCATCCAGCCACCTGCCCAAAAAAGAGGCAGTACAGATATCAGCCATACCAACGGTCGTGTTACCATGCTTTTGCGCAAAATCAACATTTCAGACAATATGATATGCAGTAACAACAATGCCATAAACCCAGAACCTAAGGACATTGCCCTCCATAATCGACGGCGACCCACTCTCCTACCTCAAATAAACAAATTTGAAGTCTTGGTTGAGGGTATAGAAAGAAAGCCTCACACCCTCTTCAGCACCAGTTTCAACCATCCATTTCTTTGGACACCATCTACGACTGTTTCTTACCAATTGGGAAGCCATCACTACGCACAGATGGGTCCTGGAAATGATCAGATCTTGTTATGCCATCCCTGTCCTCTCCTTACCCCCACTCACCCTCCCACCCCCTCCCTCTTCAGGGACCCCTCCCATGAACATTTGCTCCGTCAGGAGGTACAGCACCTCATACAACTAGGAGTGAGACAGCAGATACCAGCTCAACATAGAGGGAAAGGGTTTTACTCCCACGCTACTTCTTGGCAGAAAAGAAAAATGGTGGATGGCACCCTATCCTTGATCTTCGATGTCTAAACAAGTTAGTCATGAAACAGACATTCCGGATGGTTACTCTGCTAACAATAATTCCAGCACTAGAGCAGGGAGATTTGGTTTTCAACCCTCGATCTCTAGGACGCATATTTCCATGTCACTATCCTGCCCATCATCGTTTTCTCAGATTTGCCATGGGAGTGGAACATTATCAATACAGGGTCCTGCCCTTTGGCCTTTCCACTGACCCATGTGTCTTCTCAAAAGTACTAGCAGTCATAATAGCACATCTCAGAAAGAAAGGAGTCCTCATTTTTCCTTACCTAGACAATTGTTTCCTCAAGTGCCCCACTCAATTGGAGGCGATCCAAGTGACTTCTGCAACCGTGCACTGCTTCCACGCCATTTGGGTCTGCAAATAAACAGAAACAAATCTACCTTACGACCTACCCAACAAATACACTTCATCAGGGCCCACCTGGATTCCACCACGGGTCTTGCCTCTCTTCCCTAGGACAGATTCCACACAATGGGCACCCTCATTACCCAGATATACGTCAGCCCACAGGTTATAGTCTGAGATTCTCTGCAGCTGTTAGGACACATGGCCACTGCTTCCACATTTGTGGTCCCAAAAGTCCGCCTGTACATGCGATGCCTTCGCAGGTGGCTAGCCCCAGTATACAAACCAAATATCCACAGATTAAACAAATTGCTAACTATGCCCCCGAAAGTCAAGGACTTGCTCCTGTGGTGGAACTCTCCTATCAACCTCTGTGCTGGGGTTCCCTTCTGACAAGAACCCCCTTCAATTACCATCACTATAGATACATCCCTCACAGGATGGGGCACGCAAATGGGCACCTCACCACTCAGGGCCTCTGGTCCTCTATAGAAACTAAGCTTCACATAAATCTACTAGAGCTCAGAGCCATACGCAATGCCTGCCTCCATTTCCTTCCCATTATCCAAAACCGCAGAATTCGGATCATGACCGACAATATCGCATGTATGTTTTATGTGAACAGACATGGGAGAGCCCGAGCCCGGTTCCACACCCTCTGCACAGAGGCGGTAAAACTATGGAACTGGTGCCTTCAATACAATATCCATATCTCCACCTCATACCAGCCCACTTCTCAGAACACGACCACAGATGAGCTTAGTCAATCCTTCCCCATACAGCACGAGTGGGAACTTGACACCATTCTATCCAGCATTTTTCAGACCTGGGGTTATCCCCAACTGGATCTATTTGCCATGGCAATAAACAAAAAACGCCCGACATTCTGCTCCAGAGCAGGCCTAGGGAAACACTCTTGAGGAGATGCCTTCATGCTCCCATGGAACCTTTCATGTATGCGTTTCCACCAATACCTCTGTTGAACAGAGTAATACAGAAGACAAGAACAGACCAATCCAACATCATTCTAATAGCCCCATCGTGGCCCAGACAACCATGGTATCCCTTCCTCATGTGGATGTCAGTCAAGCCACCGATTTCCACCCCCCCCCCCAGCAACCTCCTATCACATCGCAGGGGCCAGCTATTTCACCCCGACGTACAATGACTCCACCTGAGGGCCTGGCTAATCAATGGTTCTCTAATGAGGAGTTAACATGTTCTGAGCAAGTGCGGACAGTTCTACTACACAGCAGGACACACCACGCGCACTACTTACCTACATAAATGGAAGAGGTTCACATCTTGCTGTACTGCCAAACAGACCTCCCCAGTTTCCGCCCCACTCCCACTGATACTGGATTATCTGCTGGACCTTAAAACATCAGGTCTTTCCACGAGCTCGCTCAAGGTCCACCTCACTGCAATCACCAGAAGATCGACAACACTATGGTCTTTGCCCATCCAGTAACCAAAAGGTTCCTGAAGGGCATCCAAACATAAAACCGCCTGCTGTGCCATGGGTCCTCCACCTGGTCCTCAAAGCCCTGAGGGATAAACCCATTGAGCCAATGGCTACGTGCTTCCTTCTCCACCTATCCATGAAGACCGCCTTTCTGATAGCAATCACGTCTGCCAGACGAGTAGGAGAAATGGGAGTGCTCATGGCAGAACCTCCGTACACCATGTTCTTCCATGATAAGGTCACACTTTGCACACATCCAAAGTTCCTGCCTAAGATACACTCTTCCTTTCACCTCAGTGAGCCAATACACCTACCAACATTTTCCCCAAAACCTCATGCTAATGCTTTTGAAACAGCAATGCACACTCTTGATGTGCTCAGGGCACTATCCTTTTACCCGGATAGAACAAAACCGTTTAGAAACCTGCCCCAAACTTTTCGTCTCTACCACTCAGCAATCACAGGGAAAAGCTATCTCTACCTAGAGACTCTCCAAATGGATTGCAGACTGCATACGTCTCTGTTACCAACTGAAGCAAATACACCCTCTGACATCAATTAGGACACACTCTGCTAAAGCTGTCTCCACCTCCACTGCCTTTCTCCGTAATGTTCCGTTTTCTGACCTATGCAAGGCAGCCACCTGGGCATCGAACGTTACCTTTGCCGATCATTACGCGCTCATGCACACTGAAGCATCCGACACCAAGATGGGTAGAGCTGTCTTGTCAACAGCCTTCTTATCTGATCTGAAGTCCCAACCATCCTAAGACGTACTGCTTTTCAGTCACCTGAAGTGGAGCACCCACAGGGACATCTCTCGAAGAAGAAGAAGAAGAGGAGGAGGAGGTTACTCACCCTGTGCAGTAACTGACGTTCTTCGAGATGAGTGTCCCTGTGGGTACTCCACTACCCACCCTTCTCCCCTCTACTTCGGAATCTGGAACGCACTCCGTTGTAGAGAAGGAACTGAGGACCCCGGGCCGTGCACGTGCTATTCAAACACTGACAGCTTGTGAGGCAGGCACTGCGTGTGCACGGCCCATAGGGGTACTGCTGTAGGAATCTCCGATCGAAAGTGCTGGGACGCACCTTGACCTGAAGTCCATCCCGGATTTACCATGGTGTCAATGGCGCCATAGCGCCAGGCCCAAGCTCAGAAGGGGGCTAACACTCACTTTCTCCCCTCTTGTAGCGCTGCAGAAATGGAGCCTTAGAGCAGCAGGGATCCAGCATGGGAGCTGAGAATCTACGGGGCCCTGGGAACTGTCGTTTCTTGGCCAGCTCCCTGCCTATAGTGCTGGCCCTAGAGCAGGGAAGGAACTAGATTTCCCAGCATTCCCTTGGCTGCTATCAACAGGAAAGGGAGGGGGAGGAAGTGGGGAAGCTGTGAGACCCCATGCACCGCAGCTTGCTGTGAATGGAGAGCTGGCTGCTAAAAGGGGGTGGTACTGTGAATGGGGAACATGTATGCCCAAGGAGTAGAAGGCTTTGGCCCCAGATATCACCCTCAGAAGACTTCCCCAGACTGGATTAGAGATGCTGGTGTGCCCTCATCGGGCAGCCCCCAAAGGAGGAACTGGGTGGACTAAATGGACAGTGCACCTCTCTGTCTGAAGCCTAGCAAGGGAGATATGTAGATCCCACCAGAAGTTAACATGAAAAGTAAGGGAGGGGAGGAGGACCTGGGCAGCTTCAGATACAGTACAGGAGGATTTCCACTTCTGAACCATGAAAGCAGAAATTGACTTTTCCTTTCCAGATTTACCTAATATTCAGAAAGGGAATCTAGCACCTGCCTTCCAGGTTTGAACACCCTCAAAATTCAGGAGTTCTCAAGCTCAATTTGGGCAACTGCTACTTCGTTTCTCCCAAATCAAATATGCTGATCCACTGTAATTTGTTGTAGAAAAAGTAGGATAAAATTGAGCAACAAATGCTGGGGTCTTCCCAGTGCTAACTAGGACTGGAATAGCTATTTTCAACAGCCATTACCATTTTTTTTTTTTTTTTTTTAGTTTGTTTAAAAGGAAGACAGTAATATTGCATTGGCAAATTCCCTATAGAAACGAAAGAGTGGAACAAAAGAATAATAAAGACACCTCAACTTTTCCTCATTTATGTAGGACAGTCTTATATGGATCCAGATATCCTCCAGTGACACAAACTGAAAATTGTTCCACTTTGCTGCAGTTCTGTAACCAGGCGGGAACCAGTCCTGCGTGTGTTCTGTGCATATCCAAAATTCTTACTGAATTCAGAAGTGCCTGGCTTTTGTGACCATACTACCTGATATTTTCAGCCCTGGTAAGCAAAGCAGGTTTACATTTAGTAATTGGGTGGGAAGCCTCTCAGAAAAAGTTAGGTGCCGTAGGAAGTGTTGCTTATTCACTCGGTAACGTGAGACCTTCCTGTTACAACAGTAAACCAGTGCAGCATAGAATGCACTTTGCTCCTAGAGTCTAGAATGAGGTCCTTTGCTTCTATATGCAGCCCATTAAAGACAACGAAAAGACTCCCACTCACTTCAAGAGGCTTTGGATGGAACTGGTTATTCACAGGGTAACTCCACCGTCTTCACAGGGTCCTGGTCCCACAGCAGAGGGGGGGCATGTGAGCTTGTTGCAGAGCTGCTGCTCAGGGATGGGAACCTCCTGGCACCCCAGCTTCCAAAATCATTCAGGCTGCACTTTCTGCAAGACTATGTGCTAGCTGAGGGGTGCATGGGAATTGGTGGCCTCTGCTGCAGGTGATGGGTATCTCAGGTACTTAAAGCCATAGCCTAGAGGAGGGAAGTGCATAACTGCAGAGTCTGCAGCTGCCTAGGGCCAGCGCTGAGGATCTAGAGTCCCTAGTGCCACCGTTGCAAGGTTCAAGCATGCTCAGCCTTGGAATCGCCACCCGTCCCTTGACTAGTAGCTGCAGCTATCTAAGGCTGGCCTCTGGCAATTGGCCACATAGCTATAGCCAGAGAAGCTGCAGGTGGTTCTGTGACTACTGGGGGCCATTAAGCTAGAGCAGATAAAGAAACTGGAGTTAACCTCAAGGAACAGAGGTCACCAGTAGGAAAGGAATGTCAAGGGGAGCAGGGAAAGAGGAAGCAGGTCAGGCTTGCAGCGGGAGGATAGCCCCAGCTGGTTGGGGCGCATGTCCAAAGTAGAAAGGAAACAAGTATGGGGAGAGGTAGTGGTGATCAGGTAGTAGACTAGCATGTAGAAGGGAGCAGAGGGAGAAAGGCTGGTGTCTTCAGATTCCCAAGGGCTAAGTCCTCACTTTGGGGAAATTGTGTTTGCAAATGGCTTGCTCAAATGGGTGCTGCGGGAGGGATTTGTCAGAACTGATCAGGTATCTGCTTGCTTTGGAACTTTGAGCTGAGACTAGGACCACATACAGTGACTGGTGACACAGGGGGTACTGGAGACATGGCTATAGAAGGTCTGAATGAGGAAGGAGATAAATCTGTGGGGAGTTTCCCTAATCACTATGAAAGTTCTGCCCACATGGGTGTACAGCTCATTTAGAAAAACTGGGGGCTGAGGGAGCTGTGTATGGCAATGCATATAGTCATGTAGAGGTGTATGATCAAAACGAAAAATGTCTCTGAGATTCAGTACCGGGTATACTATGGCACCAATCGTACTGCCACACCAGGCCCACACTCGGAGCCCACAATGACTACATAGGGGCCCACAAAAGGTTAATCCGACCCTACCTGAAGTGGAGCACCCACTGGGACACCCATCTCAAAGAACAACAGTTACTGCACAGGGTGAGTAATCGCCTCTTACTTTTTTCACACCACTCAAGGTTTTATAGACTTCTATCAAATCCCCCTTTAGTCACCTCTTTTCTAAGATGAACAGTCCCAGTCTTTTAAATCTCTTCTCATATGGAAGCTGTTTTGTACCACTAATTATTTTTGTTGCCTTTCTCTGGACTTTTCCAATTCTAATATATATTTTTTGAGGTGGGGTGATGAGAACTGCATGTGTTGTTCAAGGTGTGGGCATACCATTGATTTATGTAGTGGCATTAAGATATTTTCTGTCTTATTTTCTATCCCTTTTCTAATGAGTCTCAACATCCTGTTTGCATTTCTGACTGCCGCTGCACATGGAGCAGATGTTTTTCAGAGAACTATCTATGATGACTCCAAGATCTTTTTCTTGAGTGGTAACAGCTAAATTAGACCCCGTCATTTTGTATATATAGTTGGGATTATATTTTCCAGTATGCATTACTTTGCATTTAATCAACATTGAATTTCATCTGTCTTTTTGTTGCCCAGTCACACACCCTGAATCTGTGAAAAAAAAATCTAGAACATGGTAGGACTGATAGTTATTTGACATCTATTTTTATTGTGCAGGAAAACTGAGAAGTGCAAAGGTCTGAGCTTTCAAATACATAATCAATGGAATTTTATCTTATGCCAGCACATTGAGTAAAGAGTGAAAAGAGTCCCAAGTTCATATACAACACTACACACACAGCTTCTGTTTTCAGCAAATTATGAATTAACTGGTATGTTATAAAGTTCTCTACTTCCAGATCAAATTCCAACATACTTGGAAAGCAGCAGCAAGCAAAACACCAGATTTGAAAAGTAGCACAAAACATACCAGGTAACTATATGCTAATTTAACGTCAGTTGTGGGGATATTGTTGGAAATTTAATATAAGATCACCTTGAAGAGCAGTAACATGACGTGAGAACATAGGTAGAGTTTTGAGAAGAAAAAGCCATGCTTGACTAATTTACTTGCATTGTAAATCTGTGTGTTTATAAGAAGAAAAGGAGTACTTGTGGTGAATACAGACTAATGGGGCTTCTACTCTGAAACCTGTGTGTTTATAAGGTTTCAGAGCAGTATGTCTGTCAACATGGTACTAATGGTCACCTTTCAATTGTAACTATGTGGAATGAAAACTATTTGAAGTCCTTAAAATGGTAACTTCTCTCACAGGGAGGCTTGCCAGGTGGGTATCTCTAAAGATCACTTCTGGGAGCTGTCTTGTTTCTATTCTAAGCTTAATAAATGTGTTTTTCTTAAACCAAATACAAAAAGAGGACACCGCATGAATCAGGTTCCCAAGGCATGTTGTTAAATGATGGAATCTTGTTCCTAGGCTGGGTCTATGCAATTACTTTTAACCAATTTAACTATTTTTGTTATGGTGTTGATTTTATTACTAGTATAGTTAAATCAACCCTAATGAGGATGTTGTTCTACTGGTAAAGTTTTTTAGCATAAATTTGTGGGAATACACTATACTGCCACAAGTGTTAATTTGTGGAGATAAACTATACTGCTTTACATAAGTATATACACTAGGCCATTGCTCTGCTCTAACTACATCAGTTTCAAAAGGAGATAGCAATAGAAAAACTGTGTGCAGCCCTGTACTTAACATCTCCATGTGGCTCAATGGCTACTGTGGTCCAGCCACCTGCCTGGAGAAGGTTGATGCTGAATGCTGTTAGCCACGATACTATGAAGTTTGTAACAGGTTTGAGATAATCAGTCCCTGTCTGAATGTGACTGTGGTGGCAACACTAGCCCCACCATCCATGGGACAGCAGGGAGCTCTGGGCAGGCTACTAGCTAACAGGTCCTGGATTCTTTGCTGGGCCATGGGGTGATGGGGAGGCCTGCTCACATGCGTGATGGAGGGTGTGACGGGGAGTGATGGGGGGAGGGGGTTGTTGAGCCATGGGTGATGGGGGAGCTGGTTAAGTGGCCAGGGTGGTGGGGGTGCCTTGCTGTATGATGGAGTTGGGGGTGGTTGCATGGCCGGAGTGATAGGCGTGGCCAGTTAAGTGGCCAGACTGCTGGAGGGTGGGGCCAGGGCGAGGAGGGAGACTTGCTGGGTGACTGGGGGGGGTTGATAGAGGGCCCTGCACGGGCAGAGCCTGAGGCGGGAACTTTGCAGTTCTGTAGCATGACCTGACCCTGGGTGCGTCTACATGGCACCGAGACACCCCGCAGCTGCCCTGTGCCAGCTGGCTCGGGCTCTGGGGCTTGTTTCATTGCTGTGTAGCTGTTCGGCTCCTGCCAGGCAGGAGGGTCCCAGAGCGCGGGCGCGGCCCAAGTACAAATGTCTACACCGCGAGGACCCCGGCCGGCTGCCCGAGTCCCCGGCCCACATCCGCAGGCAGGGGCCAGGCCCCGGCGCCTGGGCGCCCCGTACTCGGCACGCCCCCGTGCCGCCACTGCTCCCAGGAGCGCCCGCCCTTGCCGCGGCTGGCGCTGGGGGGCGGGGCTAGGCCGGCATCCGCCGCCGGGACGCCGCTCAGGGGCGTGGTCAGCCCCCCCCCCCCCCCCCGCGCTCCCCCGCCTCCGCACGCAGAGCGAGCGCACCCGCGCCCCTCCCGCCCTCCCTCGCCCAGGCGTTAGCTCACGTGACACCTCCCCCAACCCCCTCCTCGGCTCTTCCAGTTCAGGGGCGAGACTCGTGGGGTGGGGGCGGCTCGGGATTGGCCGCAACGTCGCCCAGCGGGCTCGGCTCCCAGAGCGGGGGCGGGGGCTGGCCCCTCCCTGGAGCCCCAAACGAACGGTAGGGGCGCGCGCGCCTCGCTCCGTGCCGGGCGCTACGGGGATGCGCCGCGGACGGGAGCCGGGGCGTCTTCGGCTGTGGGAAGCGCCGCCCCCGGGGTTCCGACGCGCGGCGGGAGGCGGCCAGGTGCTGCGGTGGTGGGCGCAGGCGGTTCGCCCCCTCCCTCCCCCCCCCCGCTGTGGGGAGTGCGCGGCTCTGTTTTTTACCCCGGCAACTAAAAGCTGCCGGCGCTGAGCGGGCGGGCGCTTTTTGGACTCCCGCCCCGTGGTTTGCCGGCGGGAGGTTTGGGGCTCGTGAGCGGGAACAAGCCCGAGCAGCATCCGTCTGTCTTGACCTTACAGCGGCGTAGCGCGGGTGCGCCGGGGGGGGGAGGGCAGTCTGCCTCAAAAACGTGAAAAATTCTGCCCGCCCTATTTTCAAATGTTGCAAAATTCTGCAAATGTTATTTGTCAAAATAACACCACATAATCCCACCAGTTTCGATTATTTTGGTCATTTATGTCAAAATACCTGTCAGCAAGTATGAATAGAACAGCACATAAAGAGAAAACGGGCACTTGTGGCATGTTAGAGACTAACAAATTTATTAGAGCATAAGCTTTTGTGAGCCACAAGTCCTTTTCTTTTTGGGGATACAGACTAACATGGCTGCACTCCGAAACAGAAAACAATACAGACACACATTCCCCCAGGAGCAGAGAGTTAAAGAAACCCCTGTGGCAACCTGGTTCCTGCTTCTCTGGCCCCTTCCCCAGCCCAGCCCGGGGAGGCCAGACAACCACAACGTGCCCCTCCCAGAGCCCAGCCATGGGGTCCCACCAGCCCAGACACCTGCTACCTCCTCCTGAGCATCCAGTGGCCTCTAATGTCAGCCAGCATCACTGCAGCTCATTTTTGTGGCAGAAAGGAAATTCTACACAAAAAACATTAATTTCTGCAAATTTTGCGTTGTGCAGTAGCACAGAATTCCCTCAGGAGTAGAATGTGGCAACTTATATCACTTTTGCTTGGGGTCATTGGAACAATTTGCCATCACTGACAATTTTTAAAGCAAGGTTGGATGTTTTCCAAAAGACATGTGCTGGTAATTGTTTTAGGTGAAGTCCTATGGCCTGTGTTTATACAGGAGTGCAGACTACATGGTCCCTTCTGGCCTTGGAATCTATGGGTCTCTGGAGATTTGATGTGGGTTGACAGCTTTAGATTGACATGTTTTAGCAAAATGCTTTTCCTGGCATTGTACATGTTTTCTTCATCTGTAAAATCAGTGGGAGTTTCCTGCTGATTTTCAGAAACTGGCTACCTAAGGCACCTGGCAGAACCTGTTTTGGAATATTACTCTCCCATTATTGCTTAATCAATTAATTGGGTGGCTATAATGCAGAGAAACAATGACAGAAAAAAAAATTCAGTCTTCTCTGCCGCAAGACTTCTCAAATGGGCCCGAGCAAGGAGCACCTTGTTAGAGGTGAAGGTAGGGGGGAAAACAACTGAATACAGCTGTCTCAGGAATACCTGGGGGTGTGTGATTGAGGAGTGTGTCAACACACATTCCTAATAGCAATTTTTCTCCAGAAGTATTAAACAAATCTAAGGGTGGATCCAAAAGATGAACACCGAGAACTGTCTCATGAAAGTGTAGCTAGTGGAGTGTTGTTGAGAGCACTGAATTAGATTATGTGAGATAAAGGCGCGGGAGGGCTGCGAGAGGTATTTGGGACTTTGTTGACTCAGATTCAATTAAAAGGGAGATGTCCGCGGATGTGCTTTGAACTTCAGAGATAAACTAAGTCACAGAAAGCAAATGGAGTAACCTATCATTAATGTCAACAAGATTTAACAGTTGCATAGGTGTCAACTCCATGGGTGCTCTGGTGCTGGAGCAGTCACAGGGAAAAAAAATAGTGGGTGCTCAGTACCCACTAGCCACAGCTGTTCGGCAACACCACCAAATAGCTGATCGGCAGCTGCCATCAAACAGCTGTTTGGAGGCTGAGGGAAGGGTTTGGGGGAGGGCGGAAAGCAGGGAGGGGCAGGTGGGCGGGGGGCCTCGGGGAAAGGGTGCAGGGCTTTGGGACGGAGCAAGGGTGGAGCACCTCCAGGGAAAACTAGAAGTCAGTGCCTATGAAGGTATAAGAATGTAAGGTAGCAGAAAATGGTTGCAGTTCTACTGAGTATGAATAATATTTCCTCATCTCATTTAAGATAATTGCAGTGGAGACCATCATAAACTATTTTCTATTTGGGAAGGAAGCTTTGAGGAAGGTAAGTGTTAAAGCTGTGTCCCAGCTCCTATAATTGTGTGCTGGTTTCCTTGATTTCAGATTCCTCCCCCACCCCCCATGTGGGTATTGCCTGTACCTCCCAGATTATAATTTACTTAATTGTCACAAGGAGTCTACATTACTACTCGCTTTTTTATAGGGATTAAGAAATCATCTCAATTTTAAAATAAACTGGTATTAGGTGGTAATTTATAATTTCCCCAATTATTTTAATTGGGTGTATATGAATATGATAGATTTTATTTTTTTAAGTCACTGCGCAAATGTTGTAGTTAACGTATAAAAACTTCTCAAAAGTCCCAGTTAGTTAACCACTCATTTTTAGCTTCCTGTTGATCTACAAATCAGTGATTCTTGACATTTTCTTTTAAAATAGAGGTGGATTAATTTTATGGTACATAAAACATTACACAAAAAATCAGATGTAAACCTGAAATAATAAAAAAAAGTGTGTAGACAAAGGTTTTGGCAAATAACCTACAGGGTTTGAACTGAAACCCAGTTAAAATGTAGCCATATCTTTAGAATATGTTTTCTCCACATGATCTACAGTATCTTAATTATTAGGTTAGTTGTCTAATCCACTTGTAACTGTTTTGTAGGTATTTAAAAAATGACAAAGTTGCTGTTGATTGATGTTGACTGTGGAGTTGATGATGCTCAAGCCATAATGATGGCTCTGGCATCTCCCAGTGTTGAAATCCTGGGAATTACTTGCTGTTATGGAAACACACAGTTGGAAAACGTCTGCAAAAATGTACTTCGTGTGCTACAAGTTTGTAACAGGCTTGAGGTAATCAGTCTCTTAAATGTATGTGAATGGGTTCATCTTTGTGTCAGGTCTTGTTTAAAAATCATCAACTCGCTTAGGGTAGGGTCACCTTTTATAGTTTCTCCTCCATAAATAATTTCTTCGCTGATGTAGGGTAATTTTTGACTTGTTTGTTGTTTCATCATATCGATCCCAGGAATAGTAATAGTAATTTTCCTAGCTCCTTTAAAAAAATATCCTATAAGTATATATATTTTTCCTGGCTGATGTAAAATTTCTGCCCTTTTCATAAAGGCTCTGTAATTTTAGTGCCACTAATTTGATCATTGCTAAGATATTTTTTGGAATTGATGCTGTAATATTGCTTCTTCAAGTGATTGTCCAAATGGATTCCATACACTGCGTGTATGCATCCATGCACGTGAGATTTTGATACTTTTGGCCAGCAGTGTTCATTGAGACCATGCTGTGCCTTGGGTGCCCTTGTGCCCCCTTCTACCTCCCCCTTAATGGGCATAAAGGGTGGAGTAGGCCCAATTGTCCTTTAGCTCCTTCTTTCTTCCTGTGGCAGCTAGCATAGGTATGAGAGGATGAGTTCTAAAATCTTGAGGGACATGGAAGCAATTTGAGTTGGAAGCAATTGGTTGAATTCACTAGCTACAGATAATACTTTGTTTAATAAATCAGTTATAAATGTAAAACATGTTTTGATACATTTACTTTTTTTCTCATGTATCCAGCACATTTAAGCTAGTTTTCTTAATAAAATAATTGCTGTTTTGTGCATTTTTAATGGATTTGAATTTCCATTCAAATTGACACAAATCACAAGTAAAAAATTATTCATTATCTAGTAAAGAAAAAAAGGTGAATGACATTTCTTAACATAAGAAAAATGTAAACAATAAGAATCTGAATAAATGTAAGTTAAGGTATATAGTTGCTCAAGTAAGTAAGTAAGTAAGTGTGGGTGTGTATTATAGCCTCCTGATTAGCAAAAAGTAGTACCAAATTTAGTATAAAGGCTGTATTTAGTTCCAAATCAACGTGTTTTAATGGTCACCAACCAATGAGAGTCAACCATTCTTTAGCAAAATAACTAAAAATTACAAAAGCAAAATAAGATTAAAACCAATTATTTAAACCAGTGTTTCCAGCCTGCTGATTTAAATTGCTTTGATTACATCATTCCGACTTCCTGAGACATACCAAGAAAATCATAGGAAACTGGGTCATTCTGCATCCTTCTGCAGCAGGGAGGCTCAACATGAGCATTCCCATTAATGAAGGTCTGCTAGAGCCTGCATAAGCCATCTGACATACATCTGTATCCATCCTGTCCATGTCAAAAAGAGTGGACAGTGGGCACTGGGTTCCTGCTTCTTATTTGATTTTCTGTTTACATCCAACACTGGGTTCTTTTCTAGTGGCCGCACAACAGGAGAGAACAAAACAGCAGGGACCTTCTAAATGTATGCCAAGAGAAGAGGATCCAAAAAAGGCTGGATCTATTCAGCTACAAGGTGTATTTAACAGCTGTGCTCCAGAGGAAGGTGGCTAACTATCCAGCCTTTCAAAATACGACTTTTTAAACTGGAATCGATTGTCTCAATTTATAATTGCTCGGTGAGCACCAAGAGGAGATGTGCTGTTGCCATTAAAGATTTCAGGTGACTGCATGTACTTCTCTACAGTCTATGCTGGACATGTTGGACATGTTCCGCTGGTTGGAAGGCATGAGATGCTCTGTCCTGAGATGGGGGGTTTCACGACCACCACTCCCAAGAGAAGGAGGCGGGTGGTGGTGGTCGGGGACTCTCTACTCCGGGGGACTGAGTCATCTATCTGCCGCCCTGACCGGGAAAACCGAGAAGTCTGCTGCTTGCCAGGGGCTAAGATTCGCGATGTGACGGAGAGACTGCCGAGACTCATCAAGCCCTCGGATCGCTACCCCTTCCTGCTTCTCCACGTGGGCACCAATGATACTGCCAAGAATGACCTTGAGCGGATCACTGCGGACTACGTGGCTCTGGGAAGAAGGATAAAGGAGTTTGAGGCGCAAGTGGTGTTCTCGTCCATCCTCCCCGTAGAAGGAAAAGGCCTGGGTAGGGAACGTCGAATCGTGGAAGTCAACGAATGGCTACGCAGGTGGTGTCGGAGAGAAGGCTTTGGATTCTTTGACCATGGGATGGTGTTCCATGAAGGAGGAGTGCTGGGCAGAGACGGGCTCCACCTTACGAAGAGAGGGAAGAGCATCTTTGCGAGCAGGCTGGCTAACCTAGTGAGGAGGGCTTTAAACTAGGTTCACTGGGGGAAGGAGACCAAAGCCCTGAGGTAAGTGGGAAAGCGGGATACCGGGAGGAAGCACAGGCAGGAATGTCTGTGAGAGGAGGGCTCCTGCCTCATACTGAGAATGAGGGGCAATCAGCAGGTTATCTCAAGTGCTTATATACGAATGCACAAAGCCTTGGAAACAAGCAGGGAGAATTGGAGGTCCTGGTGATGTCAAGGAATTATGACGTGATTGGAATAACAGAGACTTGGTGGGATAACTCACATGACTGGAGTACTGTCATGGATGGTTATAAACTGTTCAGGAAGGACAGGCAGGGCAGAAAAGGTGGGGGAGTAGCACTGTATGTAAGGGAGTAGTATGACTGCTCAGAGCTCCGGTACGAAACTGCAGAAAAACCTGAGTGTCTCTGGATTAAGTTTAGAAGTGTGAGCAACAGGAGAGATGTAGTGGTGGGAGTCTGCTATAGACCACCGGACCGGGGGGATGAGGTGGATGAGGCTTTCTTCCGGCAGCTCGCGGAAGCTACTAGATTGCATGCCCTGGTTCTCATGGGTGACTTTAATTTTCCTGATATCTGCTGGGAGAGCAATACAGCGGTGCATAGACAATCCAGGAAGTTTTTGGAAAGCATAGGGACAATTTCCTGGTGCAAGTGCTAAAGGAGCCAACTAGGGGGGGAGCTTTTCTTGACCTGCTGCTCACAAACCGGGAAGAATTAGTAGGGGAAGCAAAAGTGGATGGGAATCTGGGAGGCAGTGACCATGAGTTGGTTGAGTTCAGGATCCTGACACAGGGAAGAAAGGTAAGCAGCAGGATACGGACCCTGGACTTCAGGAAAGCAGACTTCGACTCCCTCAGGGAACGGATGGGTAGGATCCCCTGGGGGACTAACATGAAGGGGAAAGGAGTCCAGGAGAGCTGGCTGTATTTCAAGGAATCCCTGTTGAGGTTACAGGGACAAACCATCCCGATGTGTTGAAAGAATAGTAAATATGGCAGGCGACCAGCTTGACTTCACGGTGAAATCCTAGCGGATCTTAAGCATAAAAAAGAAGCTTACAAGAAGTGGAAAGTTGGACATATGACCAGGGAAGAGTATAAAAATATTGCTCGGGCATGTAGGAATGAAATCAGGAGGGCCAAATCGCACCTGGAGCTGCAGCTAGCAAGAGATGTTAAGAGTAACAAGAAGGGTTTCTTCAGGTATGTTGGCAACAAGAAGAAAGTCAAGGAAAGTGTGGGCCCCTTAATGAATGAGGGAGGCAACCTAGTGACAGAGGATGTGGAAAAAGCTAATGTACTCAATGCTTTTTTTGCCTCTGTCTTCACAAACAAGGTCAGCTCCCAGACTGCTGCGCTGGGCATCACAACATGGGGAATAGATGGTCAGCCCTCTGTGGAGAAAGAGGTGGTTAGGGACTATTTAGAAAAGCTGGACATGTACCAGTCCATGGGGCCGGACGAGTTGCATCCGAGAGTGCTAAAGGAACTGGCGGCTGTGATTGCAGAGCCATTGGCCATTATCTTTGAAAACTCGTGGCGAACGGGGGAAGTCCCGGATGACTGGAAAAAGGCTAATGTAGTGCCAATCTTTAAAAAAGGGAAGAAGGAGGATCCTGGGAACTACAGGCCAGTGAGCCTCACTTCAGTCCCCGGAAAAATCATGGAGAAGGTCCTCAAAGAATCAATCCTGAAGCACTTACATGAGAGGAAAGTGATCAGGAACAGTCAGCATGGATTCACCAAGGGAACGTCATGCCTGACTAATCTAATCGCCTTCTATGATGAGATTACTGGTTCTGTGGATGAAGGGAAAGCAGTGGATGTATTGTATCTTGACTTTAGCAAAGCTTTTGACACGGTCTCCCACAGTATTCTTGTCAGCAAGTTAAAGAAGTATGGGCTGGATGAATGCACTGTAAGGTGGGTAGAAAGTTGGCTAGATTGTCGGGCTCAACGGGTAGTGATCAATGGCTCCATGTCTAGTTGGCAGCCGGTGTCAAGTGGAGTGCCCCAAGGGTCGGTCCTGGGGCCGGTTTTGTTCAATATCTTCATAAATGATCTGGAGGATGGTGTGGATTGCACTCTCAGCAAATTTGTGGATGATACTAAACTGGGAGGAGTGGTAGATACGCTGGAGGGGAGGGATAGGATACAGAGGGACCTAGACAAATTGGAGGATTGGGCCAAAAGAAATCTGATGAGGTTCAATAAGGATAAGTGCAGGGTCCTGCACTTAGGACGGAAGAACCCAATGCACCGCTACAGACTAGGGACCGAATGGCTAGGCAGCAGTTCTGCGGAAAAGGACCGAGGGGTGACAGTGGACGAGAAGCTGGATATGAGTCAGCAGTGTGCCCTTGTTGCCAAGAAGGCCAATGGCATTTTGGGATGTATAAGTAGGGGCATAGCGAGCAGATCGAGGGACGTGATCGTCCCCCTCTATTCGACATTGGTGAGGCCTCATCTGGAGTACTGTGTCCAGTTTTGGGCCCCACACTACAAGAAGGATGTGGATAAATTGGAGAGAGTCCAGCGAAGGGCAACAAAAATGATTAGGGGTCTAGAACACATGACTTATGAGGAGAGGCTGAGGGAACTGGGATTGTTTAGTCTGCGGAAGAGAAGAATGAGGGGGGATTTGATAGCTGCTTTCAACTACCTGAGAGGTGGTTCCAGAGAGGATGGTTCTAGACTATTCTCAGTGGTGGAAGAGGATAGGACA